GGAAATCTTCCAAACAAACGGCACAAACATCGGCCACCACCGTCGGCAAATCCGCCACAAGGGAATCCGAAGCGCTGATCTGACAGCAACCGAAGTCGTCGGCGCCGGACAGAACCATGTCGAGGTCAAACAGAAATTCAATTGGATAGGCCGCTGCTAAGTTTCGCGTAGTCTCAGCCGACACAGAAACGGCAGCCATTGCAGAGATTGAGAGAATTTGAGAGAGAGAGAAAAAGAGAGAGTGGTTTAGAAACTAAGGGAATGGAGTAGATAGCAGGTTCTATTCGTAAGAGATGCCAAGGCAATTATTATAAACTATTTTGTCAATATATTATCCTATATATAATAATTAATTTGAATTTTTTAATATCTAAAATAATCATGAAGTTTGATAGAAGATTTTTGTTCCCATCAATAATTTTTTTGACCCAAAATTAAAAGATAATGTACTCAAATAATTCACATTTTAATCACAAATTTAGACCTACAAAAAAAAACATTTGGACAGATACATTTGATTTACTTTTAACTTAACCACATTTCTCCCGTTTTTTTTGTTTTACATTTTTATTTTATCCCATTAAATTTAAAATTTGATTTAGTAATAAAATTAAAGACAATATAGGCCTTGTAGGCTTTTTAAACATTATTTTATACTTTATTTGTTTTGTTATTTGGTTAGAGTTTTTCCTTTTTTGAAATCTAAAATAATTTTTAAAATCTGAAAACAATTATTAAAAAAATATTACTAAATTTTTAAAAATTTTAATAATACTTTATAAGTAGTTTATAAGGTAAACTAAAATAATAATAATAATTTGTAAAAAATTTAATAATATCCTTATTTTTTTAATTTAAAAAATATGATTACAGTCAGTTTAAAAAAGTATTTCTAAAATTTTAAAAGTAGTTAATCGCCCTTTACCTTTCTAAAAAAAGTTCGATAATATTTTTAAACTTTAAAAAGTTTCGTTACTGCTCTTCATTAAAAAAAAAATAAAAAAAATACCTTATAGTTAGTATTATGTCTAAAAAAAATACTCATAAAATTTTTAAAACAATATTAATATCCTTTGTATTTACGGTCAATATGCAGATGAAGATCGTCATCGATATTTCATAGATTATTTCTAATTTTTAATATTATTTTTAAAATTTTATGAATATTTTTAAAATGGGTTAGCTAAAAGGAAAATGTCTAGACATTTGTAAGGTGTCATTTTTTAAATCATATGACAAACTTTATTAATTTATATTTTTTTTACTCGTGTGCTATGTTTTTCCTTAGTATATAATTTCTCTCTCTTCCTTTCCCATGCTTATTATTTGGTTGAACCTACCACTGCATCCACCGCCATTACAATGTAATTAAATTACAAATTTAATTATTAAAATTTCTTTTATTTTTATAACTTTTAAATTTATAAATATAGTTAAACTTTTAAAAATTTAAAAATTTAATTCATTAATAATTTACAATTTTATTAAACATAAAATTTAAATGTCTATCTTATAAAATTATTAATTTTAAAAAATTTTAAATTTGTCAAAAAGTCAAAATTAAAAATTAAAAAATGTGTAGATATTATTCAAAATTTCAATTAGTAAACTTTTAATTTACATGAAAAGTTCAAGATTAAAATTAATCTATTAAGTGAAATACAAAGGTAAAAAAGTAGTTTGGATCTCATTTCACTTTAAAGATAATTCTAATTTTGTACTTTACTTTTTTATATATACAAAAGAAACTATAGTGATAATTACTATTTATAAATTAAAATTATATAACAATCAATTTAAAATAAACCTAATATTTTGACAAATTAACTGTTTAATAAATAACTATTAACGCAATATTCAAATTCAACATTTTTAATAATTATTTAAAAAAATTATCAAGCACTTTTTTATTTTTTTATTTTTTATTTTAATCTAACGAAAAGTAGCTGTCAGATATTTTAATGAAATTCGTCCTATTTTGTCTTATTTAATTTTATTTCCAGAATTTCTCGAAAAGAAAATAGTGGAGTGAGAAAAGAGGAGTTTATTATTATAACCAATTTTGGAGGCAAGCGGGCTGTAGGGTCTTATTTATTATTATTTTTTTAATATTTTTAAAAAAATTAAATACTATAAACCTGCGTGAGAATTCAAGCGCTTCACGTCTACAAAAATGATCGATTAAATATTCCTGCTTTATAAATTAATTTATCCATTTTCATTTAAAAATAAATAATAGAATAAAAAATAATTAATTTATGATATCCGAGTAAATGAAAGGTATATAAATAAACGAAAAATCGGAGAATAGGACGACTAATAAAAGATTTGAATTGAAAGTTGTTACTTATACTAACAAAATGCATTTTATTTTCGGTGATTCAATCATAAAAATTCCAAAGAACCCTTGTGTTTGATAAGGTCTTGAGAATTTTTCTAATGTGTCTAAACCAAGACCATGTCCACAAATGTCTGGACACACGTTGAATCCTAATTCAAATTCTAGTATGAGATTAGACCATTAATTCAAATGGATTATTAATTAATTATTCTAGAGTTCCCAAAAATAAAGAAAAAGATGAGTGAAGATATTAATTAACTAATTAATTTAGTCACATGAGATTATTTAATTGTTTATATATATTTTTATTCTATGAAAATATAGCTTAATGTGTGGTTACATCTACTCACATGGTTTTCTCCACGATTCATGAGTTTTTTTTTAATTAATTGACATAAATTGGATATTATCGAGAAGGGTTTATTTTATTTTAAGCATTGATATGCGTATATGAAATTGATTTAATAGTAACATGTTATGAATAAATGTACGCATGCCCTCAAAATTTAAGGTTTATTATATATTTTAATTTTTAAAATTTAAATTTATTCACAATAATAATAATTTAGGAAAGAGGACAACGTCAGAGTAGTGCATAATTAAAGTGACAAGTGGTTTTTTTCGTCTACTCGGTGAGTTTTTGTAACGGCTCAAGCCCATTGTTAGTAAATATGGTTATTTTTGGACTTTCTCTTTCGAGTTTCCTACCTTAAAACAGGTCTCCTAGGGAAAGGTTTCCACACGGTTATAAAGGATGTTTCAGCTTTCTTTTTTATTATCTATATGGAGATTCGTTTCCTCAATTCTGAATTTTCAAAGTAGAAAACGAGGCAATGAATTCTTGTGGCGGTGAAGTTAGCGAATGCTTTTCAATCCTACTTTATAATTTTGTCGTTGTTTCAAGTCATTTTAATAATTGATTTTTTCAAAAAAAAAAAAAAATTTATAGATAATATTCACTTATAACTTTTGCAATTTCATTTCTAGCATTTTATAAGCGTCTTTAAAATTTAAGTCAAATTTAAAAATTTTAAAAAATAAAAAATAAAAAATATTGGAAAGAATCTAAATATTTCTTCAAGAGCAGTAAAAATAAAAAAAGAAAAAAAACGAGAAAACTAACATAATTTTAAAAAATAAAAAATAAAAAGTAAAATTATTTTATTTGAAAAAAGAATCAAACTTTAGCGTGATTTACATTTTCTCAACCATTCAATTTTTCTCTGACGCGTGGGCTAATTCAAAGCATGTCATGTTCATCCTTTTATTAGTAAAGATTTTTCGAAAATGTTTCAAAAAAATTAGTCACCCATTTTATCTTCCAAAGAGAGAAAATAATAATAATAAATAAATAAATAAAAAGGAAAAAGTAATAGCCATAAAATTTAATGGACCTGAAATAGCAGGTGGTTGGTTGAACTACAAATCGTCCAAACACCATCTTTTGGTCTTAGAATCAATTTTGGACTATATCTAATAAATTTTTAAAAATTTTAATTTTTCTTATATTAGCTATAAATTTGTATTTATTTAAGATTTTTATTTGACTTTTAACAAAACAATGTAATATGTTCACTACTAATATCAAATTTTCTTTTGGTTGAAATGTCTCAACTTTCATCTCTATCTCTCATCTTTTTTTACTAAATTAATATATATTTTTTAAAATTTAATTATTAAATTTTTAGATACTAATAGTTATTATTTTAAGTTATATGAATTAAATTTATAATCTAACGAATGATATAGTCCCAATCATATTTATTATAATACGTTAGATTATAAAAAAAAAATCATTTCGAAATTTTTAAATCATATTTATTATAATACGTTAAATTATAAAAAAAAAATCATTTCGAAATTTTTAAATAAAAATAAAATTAAGAATTATCTGTAGAAACTTTCTATAAGCTATTAGATTGGTTTAGCTTGTGATCTCTTTAAATATTTTAAAGATTCGAAATATATTCCAATAAATATCTCTAAATTTAAAATTATTCCATAAAATATATTTTTCTTTAAAAGTATAATATAGAGATTATCTCGTGAAACCACCTCAAGGTGTTTTCCTATCGAACGCAGTGACTCATGTCCCAAATAGAATTTTTGCATTTGGGTTGGATTGTAAGGTCTCGTACGTCCTCCGCCTACAATTTTTTTTTGTTTTGTCCTTTTAATTTCAGTACAATCTCGAATTAATACAGTAACCATTTAAGAAATGAAAAAAAGTCACGAATAGTAGGCCATATAAATCATTCATTCATTAAAAAAGAAATCTAAGTTATTATTAATAAGTTGCCATAAATTTGTAGATCCTGAAATTGTCAAAGGAACATGGCTTTTGTAAACGAAACTGAAAGACACCGAAATCTGGGTTCATTTATTACCAGATCTGTGAGTATGCGAACCTCTGATCTTTTTCTTCCCAAAATTTAATTTCACTGAGATTTTATACAATTGATTCTTTTTAATTCTCATTTTATGGAATTGCATGCCTGCAACTTGTCACTCCTCTCATAATTACTACACTTATTAGTTACTGCCTTTATTTTTTCAATTTTTGTAACCGTTTTTTTTATTTTTATTTTTTTTAAATTTGGGATTTCCCTCCTTTTTTTTTTAATTTATATATAATAAGCATTGCCATCCTTTTTTCTTCATTGTAAGCCATGGCGAATTCTGCTTTGAATCGACGGATTTCCACCATGAGGCAATCATTCTTCGATGAGGTCAGTCTTTTTTTCTTTTCTTTTATTTTTATATTTTTTAATGATTTTTAAATTACTTTTTATTTTTGTTCATAAATTTTAAAATTTTTTTTATTTCTCGTTTTTAATTGAAGAGTTTTTGTGGAATTTTTTGAAATATAATGAATGTTGTGATGAATAAAAAACGTTGACATGAATTTTAAATTATAATAATAAATAAAATTTGTAATTGGAAGCTTTTTAAAATATAAACATTAAATAATTTATATTATTGTTGCAGGGAATATTAGGTGAACAATTTATCCACGTGGAGCGATTAGGTGACGACGATCCACACTTTCTAGAGAGGGTTCTCACTACGTATTTCAGGGAATCAACCCAGAGTATAGCTACCCTACAAAATGCATTGTAAGGCCTAAAATAATAATAATAATAATAATAATAATGGACTAAATTGAAAAAATTAATACATAAAAGGAACTAAATTTGAAAGTTTTGAAATATTAGGGACTAAAAAGTAATATAAGCTAAATTGCCCCTTTTTGTCTTTTTCACAGGAGGTCACCTTCGTGCAACCCGGGTGCACTGGAGAGGCCACTTCATAAGTTTAAGGGAGCGAGCGCCAGGTCTTTAAATCTTTCAAAATTACAATTTTCGTCCCTAAAAATATTAGATACAAAATTAAAAGTCTAAAATCCTATTTTTTCTTATGAACGTTCCACTGTTGATGATTTATGTAGTATTGGGGCCATTAAAGTGAGCAACGAAATAGATGAAGCAATTCATGGTTGTAGAGACGAAGACGTGGAGAGGTAATATTACATTTTACCTTTCATTTTTACTTTGTTTCGGACCTTAGATTTTACCTTCTAGATCAGTCTCAAAATGTACTAAAATTGAAATGCACAAAGTAAAAAGGTTCGAATCTTCCAGTAAACTCGAGCATGCCCTAACGTGTTCTTATTTGATGATAGGGTTAAGGCTGCTGTAAGACGGATACATAATGAATACACTATCTTACGTCGTAAATTCGAGCAGTACTTTCAGGTTTCTCTCTCTATCTATCTAAACATATATATATATATATCTATATATATATATAGCAGCTAATATTATCCTTATGCTCTTATTATTAATCAGATGATGCGACAAGCTGGGCCTTCTGAGCGTGCTGTTCGTCCCTAGTGAGATAGATTCAATAAGTTTAGCTATACACATTACGGAGAAAATAAATACTTTATATTATATCAAGTAAAAACGTCTTGTTTTCCTATGTACTTTATTTCCCCCCAACTTTTATTAAGAATGATAACAAAAATTGGGTAACAGAAAAAGACAGCAGTTTATTTAAACTATGACAGTTTATCAGGTCAACAGTCATTTAACTAAGGAAATGTCGGGAGAAAATCACTTTTGGCAGGTTCAAAGATCACTGGAAACATATTTTTAACCGTTTAAAATCAACTTAACACGTCTAACCTCGGTTGAAGAGGGAAACAAAGCATCCTTTACAAGGGTGTGAAAAACTCTACCTAGCGAAACCCTGAAGGGAAGACTAAAAGTAAAAACCTAAAAAGGACAATATCTACTCGTGGGTGGGCTTAGGCTATTACAAATGGTGTCAGAGCCAAACATTCGACGGTGTGCCAGCGAAGACGTTGGCCTTTAAGGGGGTGGATTGTGAGATCCCACATCGGTTGGAGAGGAGAACGAAACATTCTTTATAAGGGTGTGGAAACCTCTTCCTAATAGATGTGTTTTAAAATCATGAGGCTAACGGCAATACATAACAGATCAACGCGGACAATATCTATTAGCGGTGGGCTTGAGTTACATTTTCGTACTCTAACATTCTCTAAAATGGGATGCATAATAAACGAAATTCTACCCAAGGGGTCGGCTTAATTTTTTTAAAAAAATAAATAAGAATCTCTAAAATCATTCGTTAAAAAAGAAAGCAAGGCAAGCAATATCTTCGCAACATCAGGGGATCTTGGCCTCATCAACAGTCCAAGAGGCAGAAGATAGTAAAAGAAAAGCAATAATAATAAGTAAGAAGAAAAACCTGTGATGTTGAAGCAGCTTCTCTGTTAACAGCAACAAAGGGATGGTTAATCAGTTCTTCCCCCACTTAGAAAATTGAAAACCTGCCTCAAATTTCCTCTGGAAGGCCTTGCATTTGTTGCAAATTTACAGATGTATACGAGTCGTCTTCTCATATCCGATTTCGTTATGCGCGTCTTGTTGAAAGATTTCCCGCCATCAAAAGTTCCTGATGTGATTTAACACAGTTACTAATGATCAAATACATGAAAGCAACATATTCTCCTATTGGGAATAAGATTCTACCCTTTGTGCATACAAGTAGGGAGATAGTTGCTCTTCTCATATGCGAAAAACAACATTTCACACATTAATTCAACACATTCTACTTGGTAGCTTAAGGAAATTCGACTTTGATACAATCCTTACACCCTCTTTGACTTCACTTCATTCCCTTTTCGATCAAAATTTTACTTAAGAAACTCATTTGCCGAAGGAAAATACCCATCTATCGCAAAGTATCCAAATTGTTGAGGATTGTTGGTGGCGAGTCTCACATTGTCTAATTAAAGGAATGATCATATGTTTATAAGGAATACTATCTCCCTTCGTATGAGGCCTTTTGGAGGAACCAAAAGCAAAGCCATGAGAGCTTACGCTCAAAGTGAAGAATATCATACCATTGTGGAGATTCGTGATTCCTAACAGGGTATCAAAGTCATGCCCTTAACTTAGCCATGTCAATAAAATCATCATGTGAGTCTCGAAGGTGTAGTAAAAAAGTGACTCAAAGTGTCGAACAAAGGGTGTACTTTGTTCGAGGGTTTTAGAGAAAGGAGTCGAGTCTCAATTAAGGGAAGGCTGTTTGAGGGTAGACCTTAGGGGAGGCTCTATGGTATATTTTGTTCGAGGGGAGGATTGTTGGTGGGGAGTCTCACATCGACTAATTAAGGGAATGATCATGCGTTTATAAGTAAGGAATACTATCTCCATTCGTATGAGGCCTTTCAAAAAAAACCAAAAGCAAAGCCATGAAAACTCAGGCTCAAAGTGGATAATATTATACCAGTGTAGAGATTCATGATTTCTAACATAAATAATGGAAAAGAAATGATAAAATAACACCTCTTCTTCTCATAAAGGGCAGATGAATAAATGAAAAGAGTACACAATGAATATATTGGTGTACTTCAAGAAAGTTCGGAAGAAACACATTCGGCCGAAGTACCTTTGTCATCAAATAAAGAAGTCAGTATTGCCAAGCAAACACATACGCTAATATCTTCTCCTGCACGTAAACGAACGAAAGAGATTGCTTAGCAGAAGTATCAGAAATATGTTGAACTAACATTTTCATCTCAAATAGGTGAATTTATCATATTTGTAGGAAAATAAAGGGAGTTCTCACCATTGCTACAGCAAACTAGAAGTCTTTTTCCTTCACTAAGATTGGACTTCGCAAAATCTACTGCAGCAGGAAGGCTTCTTGACAGGGAAAAGCGATCCAGTTTTGACATCTGAAAAGCACAAGCTGTTAAACAAGTTGAATTGGTGTGCATACCAAGAAGGTTTACACTATTATTTTCTCATACTCACAGCCATAGGTAGATGAAGATATGCATCAGCAATCAGAAGGCAAACAGATAGCGATTCTTGATCACAATTTAAGATGCAATCAACATCGCACGCAGTCACAGCTGCACGCACGAAAAACAAAAGTAATCAACAGATGAGCAAAGTCAAGAGACAATAATGCAATTCTTGAAAGCTGAACCACAGGAAATACCATGTTGAGATGAGCCTATTGCAAGGCTAGTTGAACCAAGCCACGATAATGCACAATTTCCATCAGAAGATTTTGCATCTAGCTCAGTATCAGATATATCTAAAGATAACATTTGCTCGATAGATGGGACTTGAGTTGACGATCCGCCCACCTTCTGAGATTTAACACTGATCTGAGGTGCATCATTCCCCCTTAGAGCTCGATAAACTCTGTCCTTTTCAACGATTTCAGCTACCTTCTGATTACAGACATCAGGTCCAGAGCTCATAAGATCATATGCGTGATTCCAAAATAGATTAGGAGACAGGCCTCTTGCCCAACTTTCTTCATCATCTCCCGCTCCCGAAATGTAGTTCCAGCTGAACTCTGTGGTGGTCCTTTGTTGAACCACACCAGTAGAGAACGAAGCCGAAACAAGTATAATGGGGGTGAAATCCCAGGAATCGTGATCTGGTACTTCATTTAACCAAATAACTGATCTCTGTGAAATCCACAAGGGGCGCAATGGCTTTCTCAAGATTGATGCTAGTGTGGCAATATCAGCTCCACATTCATCTAACTGCTTTGTCCATTCTTCAAGGCGTTCCTCAATAGCAGCTTTCTCGGTTTGAGAAACCCACAGGGGAAGATGCAAGGAACAGTCCCAGTTAACAGCAGATTCCCTTCCATTTTCAGTGAGCACGTCAGAAGTGGAAGGCTCCTGTTCCAAGAGACGTGGTAAGCGGGCCAGTTTAAGATGAACACACAAAAACAGAAGAAAAAAACTGATATACGAACCAATTTTTTGAAATCCAAACTACTTGCTAACTATCAAACAGACTTGTTTCAATCAATTTCATCGGTTTTTACTTTTAGACTTATACCCGACTGAGAGGGACTTGATCTAGACTTGCACAGAATCATAGGCTGCCAAACGATAACAAGCAGAAAAAAGAATAGAAAACACTCACCCCTTGTTCCAACGAACTGCCATGGATTTTGTTTAAATGTTTGCTTATAGACCGATTCAAAACACAAGTCCAAATGGGTATTGTTTTGGACATACTATCAGGAAAGCGCTTCCCTCTTCGAGTGGAATCAACTATAATACACCCTCCCTTCTGTCCTGTCCTACCCATCAAACAAAGAAGCGAATCACATAAACACTTCTGAAATGTAAACATGTCGCCAAACGCATGCATTGAGTCTTCATTACAAACATTCAAAGTGGACAAAATTAAGAAGCCGATGCCGAAATTCTGCCCTCTGTGAATTTTGTACCTTAATGGCTAGGAAAATAAAGGAAAAACAGAAAGGGGAAAAGAGAGGATGTACCAGCCAATTGCGCGACGTGAAGATTAAGGCGGGAAGTATTGAAAGACCAGTTGTTGTTGTGGCCGTCGGTGGACTTGAAGTAACAATTGCAGTGAAACTTCGGCGAGTACCAAAGGCCGCAACGGAGATTTGCTAAAAGAGGAAGCTCCGGCCATAGCTGGGCGATCTCGCCGACAAAGATAGAGTCCTCGTAGATTGACCTGAGAGCGTTGTAGAGAGTATTATCCCTGCGTTTTATGCTTCTGACGGCCTTGTATATGCTCAGATTCGCGCCGTCCTCCATGTACGAATCAAGCAATGGCAGTGAAGAGCGTCGTCGTCAAGGAAGATGAGAGGTATGCAGCTCAACGTTGTACTACTGGCGCCAAAACTTATTTAGAAGCAAGCCGAAAGCAAAGCTCAAGCCGATGTGGAAGCTCAGGTCCAAGCCACAGGAGAAGTCAGGCCTGAGCCGTGACTGAAGCCCAAGCCTGGAGTACTTAAGCCCCCAACCAAACATGTCCAAGCCGATGGAAAAACACAGGCCCAAGTAAAAACATGCCCAAGCCGAAGAAAACATACCCAAGCCGATAAAGAAACACGGGCCCAAGCCAAAACTGCCAAAATCCGATGAATGAAGAAGCTCAGGTCCGAGTAAAGACATGCCCAAGCCATTGAAGAATTTCAGGCCCGGGACAAAACAGGCCCAAGCATGATCTGAATCTCATGCCCGATCCAAAGAAGGCCCAATTCGATGAAGAAACAGAGGCCCGAGCAAAAACGGACCCAAGCCGATGAAGAATATCAGGTCCGAGACAATACAGACCCATGTCGATGAAGAAACTCAGTACCGAGCCGAAACCGGCTCAAGCCCGAGTCAGGGCCCATGCCAATGATGATGCTCAGCACCTAGCAAAAACAGGCCCAATCGAAAACAGGCCCAAGTCGAACAAGAAACTCAGGCCCGAGTCAGAGCCCATGCCGACGATGATAGGGCCCATGCCGATGAAGAAGCTCAGGCCATAGCAAAAAATTGGCCCAATCAAAAAAAGGCCCAAGTCGA